TTTGATAATTTTAACCAAATTTCGATACATAAGGGGTTAATCTCGTCAATGTCACTGAGCCAATAAGCATACAGCATAAATGGCTGTTGCGAGGTATCAAGGAAAAACACTAGTTTACGCCAGTTATGCCCAGAGACGTTGCCCACACGTGAGGCTGTAGTGTGTAAGCATCCCAACCCCCATAGATGTAAAGGATGTGGAAAAGATCAAAAGTGTGTCTACATTTCACCAGGCTCAATGCCAACAGTGCGCAATGTAATATTTGCAACAAGATAATTGCTGCCAAGACCGGCAACACGGCAAATCTAATGAAGCACTTGTCAGTGCACGGAATAAACTTAAGAGCAGAAAGTTGCTCCGTCTTCGACTGCAAGAAGAGGAATGTAGTGCGTCACAAATGAACCAAAGCTCAGCGTATAGGCTACTTGCCTCACAGACATGAGAAATAGGCATATAGAAAGTTTAAAATGTCTTCTTTTAAATGAACCAATTCGAAACAAAACAAATGAAAGTTGCATTTCTCTCTATAGGTGCGCACACATGTTCACTATACTGCGGAGATGACGAGTCAGCTATGTCAACTTCATCTTTGCAGCCGACACTGACTCGGAAAACACTTTTTTAAAATTGTTTATTAATAAACAATTAAAATGTCTCCTTGCTATTTTTTTCCTGACACATTCATTATAATTTGGTTACTTTTGCCAGTGCTTTGCAGCAAGCTTTATGTGTGCGCTTGAGCGCGAGACATATATTCCACCCCCTAGTGGCCTATATGAGTCTTTGAGTCTGTAAAAAAAGTCAACAAACTGAAGAAAAAAAAAAAAAAAAAAAAAAAATTTTCCAGGTAATATGTTATCTTATTAAAACGGATTGCATAAAATTGGTATTGAAAAATCGTTCAGGAACCGGTATCGAAGTCAAGGTATCGATATCGGAAAATTTTTGAACGATACCCAGCCCTAGTTATGTGACAGTAACATGGCAGATGTAGTACGTCCAAATTTCATTCATACAAGTGTTGTCACGATACTGGTATTTCCAACTCCGATACGATACCATGAAAAGTATCGATATTCGATACCATTTTTGAAAGGGAACACTGCCATATATACCGCCATACAGATAACATGTTATTATCTCATAATAATTTGGGTAATTTTTTTGTAAAAGCTTACACAGCACAGGAAGGCTTTAAAAAAAAGACAAGTAAAGATTCAGTAATAAAATAAGAACAAATGATAGCACAAATAAATACAATAGAATAAAGAGACAACAGTCCAACAGTATTTAGGGAAGAAATACTACAGAAATTAAAGTATTCAAGTGTAAAATAAAACTGGATAATTTTCATTGTAAAAATTAAATGCAGATTAATGCTTACAATTAAAGTTACAAAAAAACGTCAGCGAGTGATTTTCATTATTTTCTTTGATTAACATGACAGATGGCAGCAGGGATATATTAGGCTACTGTCACTTTAAGAGCTTATGCACAGATCCAGTATACCGTTACACAACATGCGATTTCTCTCAACTATTTATGTTACAAAACTGACTTTTAATTGAATACTCTTAGACAGGCATTTTGAAAAAGTCTAAAGCAGCTTTATCAGAGCACAACTTGTTTAGATCAGTGGGGCGCGGTTTTGGTGTGAGTGTGAAACCTGCGGGAATTAGTAAAATTCTAAATAATTTACAACCGGAAGCGTTGTACTATGGTTTGCAGAACGCGGAAGTAAGCTGCACATATACCCTATTCAAGCACTATTGAATCGTAGCTAATGTGACGAGTGAGTGAGAGGAGGCGGGTGTGTGACACTTCGCCATCGGAGAGAAGAGAGAGAGAAAGCGCAGCTGGTATCGGTCTATGGATACTGCAGAAGAGGAGTATTGGAACCGTTTCAGATATTTCAGTATGGATAAATATTGAAATATTGATTTTTTTGACAACACTACATACCACCCATATTAATAGTAGAACATACTTTTTTAATGGTTGTGAAGTAAATTCAAATGTAGTACCTACTCAGTATGCGATTTCGGACATGTTTCAGAAAGAAATATTAGAAAAAAACTCAGAAAGTTACTGCCTAGAACACCCTAGCTATCACCAAAGTCCCTTCAAAGACTATAGTCTTTGCTATCACATAGCAACATGCTAAAATTCGACCAGAACGCTCACCGTAGCATCATGGTATGGGTTTTGTATAAGGCAAGTACCACTCACATTGTCTTGAAATTTGTTTGGCCGCTAGAGGAGTTCTGAATCTGATTGGTTGCTCTGCAGCTGCTTGGGAGTTCTGAGTGTTTACAAGGGAGTTGCTAGGTTATTGCTAAGGTGTTCTAAATCTGAGGGATCTTAGAATGTTGCTATGCAGTTGTTGGGGTTGCTAAAAGTTGCTTACAATAGTGCTGCTAGGATGTTGCAAGGTTTTCTTCAAATCTAGTTTTAATTAGTATTGTAAAGATGGAGGTGTTGAGAAGACTGCCCCATTCATGCAAACTTGTAGGCCTTTGCCCTTCCCTGTTTATGAAAGAGATTAAATGAGTGCAGTGTGTGATGCATCTGAGTGCATCTGTCTTGTTCATGTATTGTTTTCGGCAGGTGTGTACTGTAAGGGCAAGGCCGCATGTGAGAAAATCTATAATAGTGCGTGAGATGTCATTGTGAACTGAGCATATGTGAATGGCAGTAGTAAGGTGAGTGTACGGGGATTCCCCATAGTTATTATGGGACATCCGTGCTACACTCAACCCAATAAAAATAACTGATATGGAAAAGAAGGGGATGAAAGATAAGTTGGAGAGAAGATAATGTAGATTGTAAGTGTTTTGGAAAGAAGACTGTTCCTCTTTGGGTTTTTGTATGGGTTTATTTTGTTTCCTTCCAGGATTTGTAACACTAGTGCCCCCTACTGGAGCAAAAATATGTCCCAACACATTTGACTTTCCAGACCTGTTTAGTTAGACAACGTGTTAAGATGGAAGTAACTTTTATTTTTAGCAAATTTTATTGTATTATTTGAGTTTTATTTTATTGCTTTCTGTTTGTGTGATTCTTTCACTGTTGCACTATTGAATTTGATTCACACTGTATAGCAAACAAGGGCTAGCAGGTAATACACAGATCTAGAAAGATGGAGTAAGGACAGAGTGAAAGATGTGTGTACAGTCACTGACTGCAAGTAAAGGAGATGGTAGATAATCAGGTAGGATCATGTCTCACTGGTGTTTGTATAGGCCTGGATCCGTTTTGCTAGGAAGAGCACATTTACATATCCTGAAGGGTGTGTGTCTCAGACTTTTTTTGTGCTACATGTAGACTATTTTTCTACCTGTTTTTTATTGTCATCACAGTTGAGTAATACTCTTGAACAACAGCCGACACCAAGTCAGAGTCGACAATGCTTTATTGCGTTATAGCTGACACTTATACAATATTGCCAAAGCATAGAAGGTATTTAAAGTGCTGAAATAAACAATACTGTATAGATGCTCAGTAAGATGAAGTAAATGTTACAAATATGGAAAAATATATCTTTTTTTTTGTTGTAAAAATAGACAAAATAACAATGAGATTGAGTTTAAATGGTGGTAAATGTAAAATATAAATAATAAATGCAGTGTGGTGATACATGATTAACATGTTGACATGCTGTTACATGTTACCTTGATCCATAAACTTATTTTTTTAGTGTCTGGCAACCATTTTTGGAAAATGTTTTTGTATTTTATAGTTGTATCAGTTTTTCTTTTTGCTATTGTAACTTTGCAAATACATAGCATTGGAGCTCTTTGTCAGAAACAAGTTGAATTTGGCAGCGCAGTGTGTTCTGGCGGCTTTGTGTGTAGAGATATGCTGTGTGGGTGTGGTTTGTGTGTGAAGTGTTGCGAAGTGTGTGTTCAGATGGGAGATATTTGTGGGTGTGGCTGAGTATGTGTGTGTGTGTGAGCAGGTGAACTGCTATCTACATTCCCCAGCACTTCCTGTCCCTGTAACAGGTGTGTGTGTTGTTGTCTTGAGCTTTTTGTGTGTAAAAGGGTCCTTGTAGTGTGGCCATAACATATCTGGGGGCTCGTAGTGTTTATCTTTATATAATTATTAACGTTGGTTTATATAACAATGCAAATACACAAACATTCTCATGTTATGATACTTTAAAATTGATCAAGAGCAAGGTTTTTTCACAAGGTGAGTCAGACATCTCACAAATTCTCCCGAAGATCATAGTGTTTTTTCCCATTGTGTTTTTTCCCTTGGATTATATATATATATATATATATATATATAAGATCTCCCTTATTGACTCGTCTTCTCATCCTTTTTGTGCTTGGAGGTTAGAGGTTTCATTATTTTTACACATTAACCCTCTGTGTGCTGGAAGTGCACAGTCAGTGTGGGAGTGCAAGTGACGTGCCGGAGTTAACCCTTTCCTGGCCAGAGCGTTCGCTGCTCTGAGTGAGATGACTGGCTGTGGCCGTTGCCACCGAAACGGCTCTACTGCTATGACGAGACAGTGCACACGCTGAAGCCATTTACCTTACAGGGACAGAAAAATGCTCTCTCTCATCCTCGTTTTCTTACATCCCTTCCCCCTCTTTGGCTCTAAGAGCCTGTTTTGGTGCAGCACGGAGGAGTTGACTCATGAATTTCAGTAAGATAGCGAGAAAATGAGGCTTTGCGCTTGTTGAGTGCACTGACACATACATCTGCACATCTGAAAATGAGTAACCCTTTATACTGTACCAAACAGGAAACTTGACTTTCATAAAAGGTACACTGTCATACATTTCTGAACGCAAGGCATGTCAGATTAGTATTGTACAAAAAAGCTTGCTTTGTGCTAAGAAAGAGATGGTTTCAAAAATGAAAATAAAAAGCAGAATATTTTTAACCTTTGATAAATATTCAAGTTAATTAATTATTAAATATCAATAATATGAATATTATTGTAATATCGGAAATTTAGTGTGTGCGCATTGTTTTCTACGTCCTAGCAAAAGTACGGGACGCTCCAGAGAGTCGTGTCGAAGCGGAGGTTGTCCCTAAGGTTGCCCGGATGACTGTGTCAGGCAAGAAGCAGACCATGGGCTTTGATGTGCGAAGGTAAGCCAGTCGAGGTAACGTGGAAGTGGTTTAAAGATGTGCCCTGGTAACCCAAACATTGTAGGTTCAAACCTTATAAGGGACGCTTTATGAACTATGTGATCTTTCACCCTTAAGCAAAGCATGTAACCACAGCTCACTCCACTGGGACTGTCCCTAATAAGTGTGCTGCAACACCGTGACCTAATCAGACACGATTGTCTTGTTTTCAGTGATTTTTCTTTTTCTTTTCTTTTTTCTTCAGACCAGTCTGAACGCTAGTGAGACAGATTAAATGAACTAATTTAAAAATGGATGATCTTTACAACAGAACTGAACCAAAACTGAACTGACTTCAGCTGAACAACAGTCGAAATACATCATTTTCATGTTATCACAGGATGTAGTTTTAGCTCAATGTACATATCATTTCATGATGGAACCTTTGGATATATACGTGCATTTCATGAAGGATACCTTTGTTAATTTTTATTTTAAATGTACAGAAAATTGACCTTCGTCTTGATCATCTGCTGTCCACTCATTGCTGAACTGCTGTAGTGAGCTTTCCTCTCTTATCGGTTCTTGCAGTTACAGTCCCTAATATTACAGAATTAATTCTCCGAACCAGGCCAAGTCTGGTCTACCTGCATTGCATTCTGGGATAGCAGAAAACCACAGAGATGGCTGGTGCCTGTAGATTAATCTCACACTCACTAACATGAACCCACAGCCTATCACTCCCTCTCCTTCAGCCACAGACCACACCCGTCGAGCTCAAGAAGAAGGGTGTAGGGGTTTCTGCAGGTGGAGCAGCCAATGTACTTTAATTTAATAGGTTAAGTTTGTTTAGAACAGTCTTTAAGTGTCTATAAGAGGACCTGTGCTAAATTTTCCACACAATATTTTTTTCAAAAGATATCTATAGGTTTCCACTAACAATATGTTGGTATTTGGAGTTTAAAAGGTTGTATATAGATTGTACTGTCCGAGGGGTCCGAAAGAATTTTGTTCTGAAAGAAATTGTTACTTTTATTCATCGATGCTGTAAAGACATTTATAATGTTTCAAAAGATTTCTGTTTCAAATAGATGCTGTTCTTTTGAACATTCTATTCATCAAAGATTCCTGAAAACAATTCCACAAAAATATTAAGCACCACAACCGTTTTAAACTGTGATGATAAGAAGGCACAGAAAAATCAGCATGTTAGAATGATTTCTGAAAGATCATGTGACACTGAAAACTGGAGTAAATACACACAAAATGAATGTAAATCCAATGAAAATTCAGCTTTGATATCACAGAAATAAATTGCATATCCAAATATTTTTAAATTGAAATTAGTTTTTAAATTGTAATATTTCATAATATTAGTAATTTTTTTTACCATTTACCAAATGTAAAAAATGTTATCAAATAAATGCAGCCGTTCTTGAGCAAAGCTGTTTTAAAAAATGTTTTTGAAAAAATAAAACCCTGACCCCAAACTTTTCGACAGCGTTGTACCTTTCTACAAATTTCCGGTAGACAAAAAATACAAAAACATGGGTTGTGAAAATTAGACACAGTGGGAAAATACTGATTTGATTAAATGTCTATCTCAGCCTTGTTTTTTATTGCATCAAATAAACAGAATGAGGTTTAATTGACTTTAAGATCAAGAAAAATGCTCAACAAACCATCCTAGAAATTCTGAGGTGACATTTGCTTTTGTGTTCCTTTTTAGTGCGGAAGAAAATGGCGTTGTTGCCTCATCGGTTCGCAGAGGGCAGAGTCCAGAGGTCACTGCTGCACCAACCACAGAAACCCCATCCAAACCGGGGGTTATGAGTGAAGACTCTACCACTACGACCCCATCTCGACCAGCTGGAAAGAGCAAACAGCAGCTCAACATCCGTGCCGAACTGGAGAAAAGACAAGGAGGAAAACCGTTACTCAATCTGGTGGTCATAGGCACGATATCCTCTCTATCACTATTCATCCAGTCACATTATCATCCAGTTCATTTTTTGGTCACATTTGAATTCATTTTATTCTTTTGATTCATCCAATTAACTACCTGGTGAGAAAAAAGAATAAAACTCTATGAGGTGGCCCTCAAACACTTGTATGAATGTGGTTAGATAAACAACCACATGCATGAATGTAATTAGATAAACCATTGTATATGTAGTGAATATGGATCTTGAACTTTGTTTGTGTGTGTAGGTCATGTAGATGCTGGTAAGAGCACTCTCATGGGTCATCTGTTATATCTGCTGGGGAACGTTAATAAGAGAACCATGCATAAATATGAGCAGGAGGCCAAGAAAGCTGGCAAGGCCTCGTTCGCCTATGCGTGGGTACTGGATGAGACCGGAGAGGAAAGAGACAGGTTGGTTTAATACAAACACTCAGGTGTCATTTCTGTCTTGAAAAATGTTACCCAAACCAAGCTTCATTTGTTCATCATCTGCTCTCTTTCACAGAGGAGTGACCATGGATGTGGGCATGACAAAGTTTGAGACGGACTCGAAGGTTGTTACTCTGATGGACGCACCAGGACACAAAGACTTCATTCCGAACATGATCACAGGGGCGGCACAGGTACTTCCATGTGCTCCTTTAGGCTCAATTAAATGCAACCAAAAATGAAAATGGTCATTTCCATACCTTGACCACCACGTCGTCTCAAACTTCCCTGCATCACTCAAAGAGAAATTTTGAATATTTGAAGCAGCAAATAAAGCTTTCAGAGATCAAAAAGGACACAAAAGTACCAAAAAAAGTTCCAGACACTATATTTCAAGTCTTATGAAGCCTTATGATAGCTTTGTGTGTGAATCAGGCAGATATTTCAAACTAAAAAAGTGGTTCTCTGAAAATCTTGTTAATGAGTGATGGGCATTGGGCAGTAGCATTTATGATTTATTCATTCTGTGAAGTTGGATCTTTAATGAAACGGTTGATCTGGGTAATAAAAAGGTCTGAATGAATCATTCACAGTCAGACTGATTCAGTTCCCAGGTTCAGCTCCCTGACTCAATGGTCTAGCCACAGTGGTTTACAGCTCACTACAGGGGAGAATTACCATTGAATAATTATGTCATTTTGGTCTGTTTCTTACATAAAGCTATTGTATGACTTTAGAAGACAAGTCATATGGACAACTTTATGATGCTTTCATGTTTTTTTGGAGCTTGAAAGCTTCTGTTCCCATTGTAACTGTAATTTCTCCACATAAGAAAGGCATATAGGTTTAGAGTGACAGGACAGTGAGTAAATGTCTGAATTTGATTGTTTAAACTAGAGTCCTCTTTCAGGTTGTTCTTCTATTGCCTATTCGTTTTTTTTTTTGCATGTGCACGAGTTGACGAGAGGACAACGGATGTCTATGCATAATTTCTTCTGCACAGTAAAGTCTCAATGAAACTTGTTCTTTGTGGATTTGGGTGCCACCACCACTAGTACTCCGAATATGAGTGTGTGTGTTTGGATTTGGCTGATACTTACAAATGCTGTGAAGGAAATTAGTCACATTGTGCAGGTCGGATTTACTCATATCCTCAGTTCAGTCTGCTGAGAAAGGGTTTTTGGGGGCAAGTGGTTGTGTGTGTATTGCGGGTGGGTGTGTATTGGTTCTAGACTATTTCTGTATGATGACGGAAGTTGAAGTTGACATGACAAAGCAATATCGATTAGGGGATCTTTAATGTTTTGTGACCCCTGAAAACTATTACTTAAACTATATATATATATATATATATATATATATACACACACATACAATATGTATGTGTCAGATAATGTACATCCAGCCGGTTGTTATCACAGAATAAACTCTGACATATTTTGTATCACCCTGAAGGGGTTTATTTTGCGATAACAACCAGCTCGATTTAGATTATCCTGCTTATTACATGGCAACTTCCCACATAAGTGAATAATTGGGACACACAAAAAAAAGAAATTCTTGTGAAATATTTGATTAGCTCACTAACCACAAAGCTTCTGTGAAGAAAACAGTTGCTAGATATATAGATGCAAGAGCTATTGATTTGAGATTTGACCTGTTTATTATCTTATAATCCATTTACGGTGTACAAAACAATCGTCCTGCCAAGGAGATGAACACAGCAGTGATATTACAGTACTATTAATACTGATGTCCTACTATTTGATTTTCAGTGCAATCGATAAATGTAACAGACGCAAGATGGCAGCAGCTGCGTTTGTATGAATCAAGCAAGAGCGAGTCCGCGGTATGATACGAGAGACATGAAAGACGCACAGGCTTCATATACCCAGATGGCCGTTATGTTATTTAGCATTGCTATGTATTACTGTTGTTATCGGGGAATAACACACTTCTAGAGTTGTGACTGACCAATCAGAATCAAGTATTCCAGAGAGCCGTGTAATGGTTTGAGCTGCATTTCATTTTGACTTTAAAGTATAAGTGTTTGTGTGCGTTTCTGTAATGTTTGGGTGTCTTAGTCTTAGTGTTATTAGTGATGGATGCTGGTCGCAGAGCGTTTGAGGAGGAGTATGTGTGTGTGTTTTGCAGGCAGATGTGGCTGTGTTAGTCGTAGATGCCAGCCGTGGGGAGTTTGAGGCCGGGTTTGAGGCAGGGGGGCAGACCCGCGAGCACGGCCTGCTGGTTCGATCCCTCGGAGTCACGCAGCTTGCTGTTGCTGTCAACAAGATGGACCAGGTGGGTAACCATGGGGACCACAACAGTGTACAGTAACCACGGCAATGTCAATCATGATTTTATTTATGTCTGAGAACCATGCTTCAATCCCACTCCCACCACTTGTGCTCATCACGTCATGCTCTGTGTGTGTGTGTGTGTCTGCAGGTTAACTGGCAGCAGGAGAGGTTCCAGGAAATCATCTCTAAGCTCGGTCACTTTCTAAAGCAGGCTGGTTTTAAGGTAATGCAGTCTGTGCACATGGAGGATGTTTATATATTTTTCCCCTGTGCTTTTTGTACTTTGGTAATTCCCCCCCAATTGTTTTGTGTTACTTTCATTTAAGTGCGTGAGTTTTCTGTTGGTGCTTCAGGATAAAGTGAATGTTCATCTGATCAATGACACATCCAGAAACTGCCATTCAAACCTAAAAAAGATGTCTTGCATGTTCTGATCGAATCTCACACAATATCAGCTTACATTCTGATACTCGTCAGTCTTTTCTGACTGATTTTCCATTTTTATGTGCTGCAAATGCATATGAAAGAAGAAAAAGTTATTTAAATGCTTTTGTGGAACTCAAATTATTATTTTGTAAAATGTCCGGTGTGCAGTGTTTTAGCTTGTGATATGATATAGCTTTGTGTGTGAAGCAGATTTAAACGGTCATTTGTTAAAAATCTGCAAATATTATCATAAAAACACATCAAACCTGTTTGCAGTAGATTTTGACATGCCATTTCAAGCACAAATACAGTATATATTAATATATAATCAATAATGATATATAATTGAGCACAAATGAGATAAGGTGGGTGAGAACAGCAAATAATGATTTTAATTTTGGTTTGTTCCTTACACAACACTATCGAATAACTTTTGCGCAAGTTGTAAATGATAAATTACTTCTGTTAAAATGCTTTTGTCATTCCTGAAAGTTTTTAGTAAAAAAATTTAATATGTTGCAAAATACAAAATATCTCAGTTTGGATGGAGCTGATATATATATATATGTATATATATATATATATATAAAATTGACAATTCTGACATTTTTTTTTTTTACTTAACCTTGTTCCAAAGCCACCCGCGTTTAATATACATATTTTATATGTGAGAGTGAGTGAAAAATGACAGAATTTTCCATTTTGTATAAACTACTCTTCAAAAAATGAAGAGAAAACAAGATTATTTCATTGTAATAATGAAATATGGGCTATGGAAGAGAAACTGACTGCTGGCCTCAACTTTTTTTTACTAGTTTCAGCTTTGCTCAACTTATTTCTACTATGTCTAGTTTCTAAAATAATATGAGTGCGATGTGCTTTTTTTTTTTTGCAGACATGAGTTTCCTAAATACATTTTTAAATGTAAATTCAGCTCTCAGTGGCGGTTCTGGTGCACTAGGCCAAATATGACATGTCACCCACACCCAAAATTGATACACTTTTATTGTAGAACTATATACACAAATATAAATCCACTAAATAAAATAATTTAGTAAATAGCTATTTACAAAAATCACTTAACTCGAATAGCTAATAAATAATAAAATGAATAACTACAGAACAGGCTGACTAAACTGAGCTTGAAATTTGTACATGGAATTATTCGATATACAAAGATGGATCCTAAATTTCTTTTCAATTTAAAGGTACACTGTTATTTTATCAGTCAATCGTCGAAGTCTGATGGTTGATAGCCAGGGCAAAGTGCACAAGGCAAAGTTTGAGCGCACATGCGATAGCAGAGCCACGAGACCACTGTATATTTGAGAGCGCACTTCCAGTTTTGTGCAAGAGTGAAGGAAAGCCGCCTACGAGCGGAGAGATTTGTGCTCGTGCATGACATGGACACGCTCTCACGTTACAATAATGCACTCCTGACATTTGTCTTTAAATTAACGGCAGCTCTGCCATCACAACAATCGTGACAGTTGTGCACAACTGTTGTTTTTTTGCCATTTTCTAGTATTTTAGCTTACACATTTTAGTTACATTTTATGGATCAACAGTACAATAGATGTTTTTGCAGTGAACTGTAATGATACGTGTTGTACTGTACATGTCACCTCTGATGTGCTTGCAAGAGGTGTAATTGTGGCCTGTAAAACATTCTGTGGCCTTTAAAATGTGGGTTAAAAATGGTGTGGGAATGTAAAGCAACATTTCATGGCCCATTTCCACCTGCAAGTTGATTTGATCAGTCAACAGCACATGCCGCTATGGAAATGATCTGTGCTGGCCATGTGTTACAAATGTGCTTGTCTTTGCAGGATTCTGATGTGTATTACATCCCTACCAGTGGCCTATCAGGGGAGAATCTGACCACTAGGAGCAAAGTAGCAGACCTTACAGCCTGGTACACTGGACCATGCCTACTGGAACAGATAGGTGGGTGTGTTTGTTTATGTGGACACGTTTGTGCAATTCTATTTGCATGCACATATACTATGTATACAGTATAATATATTAGAATATAATGCATAATGTTACAAAAATACAATATAATGTTATAGTTGCTTTATTATTTTTGATAAACCCGGCACATTTTTAATAGAGAAGCTTTGACATTTTGATAATTCTTTTCTTTTTTTTGTGGGCAAAAATGTTTTGTGTAACATGAGGGTGAGTAGATAATGATCAAACGGTCTGTAGAAGGTGTAACTGCGTCTAAATTGACCAAATCATTTCTGCACCAGTGTTTTTCCCCCTTCAATAATCATGCAAATTAATTATCAAAGATAAAAAAAAATTTTGGAAGTTCAAAAAAGTCTAATCTTCTGCATCTTGTTTATAAGTTTGAACGGGCACTTCTATGTTAATGCACATGGATGAGTGTGTAAGTGTAGAGTGTTTTCACAGAAGGTCTAGTGTCATGATTCTGATCTGATTGGTGGCTGAGCTGTGAGAATCCTCAGCAGTTTTACTTTGACTCACCAAAACTTGATGAGGCAAACAGAAAACCTTCAGGCCACTGCATCTTTCCTCATCTCTCTTCTTCTGTCTGTTTGCAGATGCATTTAAACCTCCCCAGAGGTCAGTGGAGAAGCCGTTCAGGCTTTGTGTCTCAGACGTCTTCAAAGGTCAGCATGGGAACCCACATAAAAGCAAAGTGTACAAAATCTAAATGCACAAATATTGGATTTTGTTAGATTCTGTGCAAATACTCCTATGTTTTCAAAAAAATGAAACAAACTCTTATTCCCTTAGGGGCAAACCCTTATTCTCTTAGGGTGCAGGTTAGAGATGTTTGATTTCATGATCACCTAAACAATTTCACTGTTTTCAGACCAGGGCTCTGGATTCTGTGTGACAGGGAAGGTCGAGGCTGGCTTCATTCAAACAGGAGATAAAGCGCTGGTCATGCCTCCTAATGAGACCTGCACTGTTAAAGGTAAACACACAGCAGCTTTATTAACTTATACAGACATGCATTGCTCTAGGTGGATGTGCAACAGCACCCTCTTCTGGTGTTTTCATAAAGCACCGTGATTACTGGTTAATACTGCTTTAGACTTTTTGGCTTTTTTCCAGTCCTGTGACTAAGAAATGGATGCTGAATGTAGAAGACATGCACAATTTTGGCATTTGCCAGTGTATATATATATATTTGTTTAATTCAAGCAGAAAAAAATCTAGTTTTAAATAGGCATGTTTTCCACATTGATTTTTTATAATGTTTCCTTGCGCCAATATAACAAATAGGGTTGTCGATTTAACACGTTAATTTATTTAATTAGTTATGGATAAAAAATAATGTGATAAAATTAACACATATAACACACCTGCCCCGCCCCGCCCCACGTAGGTCATCTGACATTTCATACAGTTAATGGTGACGTAGTCTCGACACACGTCTCGCGGACATCCTGTAGAATTCAACCAATCAGATCGCGACTTCGAAACTCCTTAGGTGTTTGATGCATATGGTACACTTTTCTGGAAACACTTCAGGAGTTTGGAAGTCCCGATCTGTTGTTGTCCTGCATCATGCTCAACAACTCACTGTGTAATGGAGCCAATAGAATGCATTAATATACCCCTAAAATTCAATATTCAAAATTCTATAGCCCCTGAATGACTTTTTGTCTCATATTTATATCAAATGATATGGTATGTAAAGCAATATCATTCGAGCAATGAGCGCAATATCACTCGAGTGCTGTTTTTATCCTGAATAGCACGAGTGCAGATGTGATACTGATTTTATACAACAGTTCAATAAATAAGTTACTATTGTTATATTTTAGACGAAAACATTACATATAAAGCCACAGCAGAACGATTGTGTATCTCCAAGCAACACAGTGGTGTTTCTGAATGAATTCGTGTTTTCAACAAATCAATCGGCTGAATCAATGATTCAATGGCCCCATTCATAAAGAGAGCCATTTACTTAAAGGTCCCCTGACATGGGGTTATTTTATTATTTTATAATGTTTCCTGGGTTGCCCTTATAATGTTAGTATGTTTTTTAGATCAAAAATAGTCATAATTTAGAAATAAAAGGCAATTTTCCTAGCCTGATTTTAGCCTCTGATTTGAAGGGGCGTGTCTGCTGTGGGATTCAGTGTAACCGCCCACTGCTGTGATTGGCTGACATGCTTGCATATGAAATAGCTATGTATTACATGCGCAACTTTCTCGAATACTTTTACTACAGCTTTTATACGTTTTTACTATTACAGCTATCGAGATTAACGAATCGTGAGAAGTTTTTTTAAGTATTTAGATCTATTCCATCACATAAAGAGCATTGAGCAAGCATATGACAAGTCTGTTGATCACGAGAATGAAGATCTTATCTTTGCAACGCAGTTTCTGCACTCTCTCTAATGCTTTCCCCAATGCAAACACGATGATGTACATACAGTAAGAGCTTCGTTGTGCAGTGTAACGTGCGTCATTGATTTCATAACGAGTTGTCCAGATAAACTCGCGCTGTGTGGAAAGATTGTTCTTTGATCGCTTTCTGTATAATTTGTTCAGAATTTAAATAAGATTATTTTTATCCTACTAAAATAAACGATGTGAAGTTGATATTTTAGTCACTGGCTTGACTTATGCATAAACCGTATTGAACTATTTTGAGAGAAAGATTAACTTACCTGTCTGAACTTGAACAATTAGGCTACACATCAGAAATTGTTGCTTGGTAGCTCGATCGATTTATTTTTTTAGACGTTCATCGAGTTGAGGAAACAGTCGTCGGTGAAATGTTTGGACCATACAAAACTTTGGGAAGTTGTGTCGGCGCATTTCCAGAGAAAATAAAATTAACCCATTTAGGCCGTGAGACAGAGGGTTAAGAGACCATGCGGTTTAATCCCTCAAAATGGTACCAATCAACCATTGGTACCATTTTGAGGGATTAAACCGCATGGTGATTTTTGTGTAGGTATATGACCCTGTATTTGAAAAATGTGTGATAGCATTAGATTCAAGGTAGTTTTTGGTTACGGAGGACGATTTTCAAACATATGTCAAGAAAAAGGATAAATGAATTTATCTTTAAATAAATTTTATAATTTTTTTATAAAAAAATTATAAAATTTTATACATTTTTATAATAAAAAATTATACATTTTTTAAATACATTTTTTAAATTATAAAAGGATACATTTTTCTCTCTTGTAGTCACTGAACACCTTACCTTGAGGTAGGATGATATAAGTGTTGATTTCTAATGAAAGCTACCATGGATCGGATGTTATCACACATTTTCCAACACTAGAGATGTGTACCTTCATGAAAATCAAAAAGAAATTTAATCCCTCAAAATGGTACCGGTAGCCCAAATTTGGGGTCCCGTCTCATGGCCTAATTGTTTCTTCAGAGGCTCGGATGAAGGAACTAAAAAATACTTTTGTGTTCATTTGTACATCCGAACACTGATCAACTGCCATGCTTCGCTCGTTTGCAAGCCATGATATCTCTCGAGGAAAAACTCAAATCTCAAAGCTATTTCTCTAGGAAAAACTAAAATCGCGTCGGCGCGTTCGTACTTCCTGTTCCTAGCTCGTTTTCTCATGGGCGAGCCAAATTCTCCGGGCGGGCAAAGCAGAGAAGGGGGAGGTAACCTTTCCTCGTTATGACGTCATAACGAGGAGATTTAAGATCAGCGCGTCTGAGCTGCAGAGAAGAGAAAAATAGCCAAAGCTCGGTTTACACCGATTGAAAATTCTAGACACGAGGGGACCAAATACAGGCTAGGGGAACTCATATTAATGTTAAAAAACCTCAGAAAGTGAAAATGTCATGTCAGGGGACCTTTAATTCCTGAATGAATCAGCCGTTTGAACAAATCAAATGAATGACTTACTCATTTAGACATTTAGGACCACCTACTGGCAGTTTGTTTCTTATTTAGAATATTATTTCAGTAAAAGAATAATATCATATTCCATATCAATAAAAAACCCCATTAAAGGTATAGTTTACCCAAAAATGAAAATTCTGTCATTTACTCACCCTCATGGCTGTTGTAGCCTAAAAGTGTATGTTTAATGAATTCTGTTGGATCAAATATAATATTTCTTTCTAAAGCTAAATTTTCTCATCAATAATGACTTTAAATGAACTTTTGGGGGTAATTTCTCAGCCAGATTTGATGTGATTAATTTGCCATTAATAGAATGAATTCATTAATCGCCACATTGTGTAATTATTATATTAAAAAAATGTAAATCGCTTGACAGCCATTGTTAACAATACATGGTAATAAACAATAATAATGTAAAATGCAATATATAAATATGCAGTGTGAAATAATATGCAATAATCATGTCTGTTTTTTTCATGTCAAAATTTCAAAACATCATCAATCCCTAATTCACTATGGTAAGCCTGTTACAAGTGTTTATATTTTAGACCTGACGGGATGGTTTTCACAGGAAATTGCATACATACAGTACGTCACTTGCCCGTGCGTGTCTTGTCATATCCGTATAGAGAAAAGTTGCTCCTGCTTCTTTGACGCATGTATGGTGTGAGAGTGGCATATATATTAGTTGTCAAATCTCAAACCTCCGGGAATCACTCGTTAGAAAAAAAAATGTAAAAAAATAAAACGAACAGCTGACTTTTTTTGCCAGCAGACTTTTTGCCAAAAAGAGAACACAACAGAGCTTGTAATAAAACAAGATTCAACAACTGAGGGATTTGAAATGTTGTAAATGCGATGCAGAGAGTTTTTAGACCGTACACTTTTGAATGGTAATGTATTGCCAAGCCCAATGCCCAATGTAAGTGATGTATCCTTAAAATACAGTCGTCTCTCTCTCCAGGGATCACTCTCCATGATGAAGCATTAGACTGGGCAGCTGCCGGTGATCATGTCAGTCTAACTGTAACGGGCATGGACATCATCAAAATAAAGTGAGTGTGGAATGAATCACTGGTGTTGAAAGCATTCCTTTCCTGAGAGTATACTGTAATATTGTGGTTATATAATATTTTGATTATATTACATACTACTTGATTAGAAAACTTTCTTTGGGCGCTTATGATTCTGTATGATCATATTTTTCTCTCTAGCATTGGATGTATATTCTGTGATCCCAAAGAGCCCATCAGAGCCTGCACAAGATTCCGAGCAAAAATTCTTCTCTTTAATATAGAACTTCCCATCACGCAAGGCTTCCCTGTGAGAAAACACTCTCTCTGCGTTCAAACTTCTAGTATATACACATCTCTGCATCTACATGATGTGCAAGTGCATTTGTCAACAATTCCTTGTATTTTGTGTTTGATTGTCAGGTGCTGTTGCATTATCAGACTGTAAGCGAACCGGCGACTATTAGGAAGTTAGTCAGTATATTACACAAGAGCAGTGGAGAGGTTCTCAAGAAGAAACCAAAGTAAGTGGATGAATGATATGGAATCATACAGTATGTTACACTAATTAAAAATATTATTTATTCACCCTCATGTTGTTCCATCCAAACCTGTATGATTTTCTTCAGTGAAACAAAAGCTTTGAAGAATGTGCTCATTTCCATATAACAATTGCATAAAGTGAACACCAAAAAAAAAAAAAGCTTTATTGAAGTATAGTAAAAGTAGTCCTTGTGTGCTATATAGTACAAGTCCTCTGAATCCATATGACACCATTTGTATGATGAACACAAAATACTTTATTTTTTATATTTATGAAAATCTTGTGAATTTACCTTATGTGCAAAATATTCGAATATTTGCATAAAATATTTGCGAATAAAGCACCGTTTCCATCTCAGATGTTCAAGTGAACAAAATCGTCACTTCCTGGGAAATTGGCGCAAAATACCTGTAATGAAAATGGAAGTTGCTACAATCGGGGAAACTGCAATGGCTCTTTTTTCCTACATAATAAATGACTTGCATCTCAGAGCTCACAGACGAAAGACAATAAATGCCGTCATGTTATCTTGCGTTTGGATGCCTGGTGTTTGGGAACACAATCATGCGAGAAGCTTCTGGGAGGGAATTAAAGGAAATTCCATTGACAGACGTTAGCTCACACATTTCAGAATGATCAAACCAACATTTGAGATGCTGTGCAATGAAGTTCGTCGGCTGGTTAGTCGGGTTATCCAAATCACATCCTCTGTTGAGGCAAAGTAACATGACTTTTTGTTGTGCATCAAGCGATTTATTTGGTAAATGTGTTTACATCATAGTTTATGTGCATGTCTCAACTCAATTGAGCGCATACATTATTTTTATATACGCTTTTTTTTTTTAATTGATGCACATCTTGGTGTATCCATTCAGAAATTTTTGAATGGGATATCTCAAAATCTGCATAAAAATAGGTGGATGGAAACATAGCTACTGTTGTTATTAACTGAAACTTTTAAAAATACATTTCAGTAATTGAAATAAGGCTAAAATAAAATATAAATAGTAGATGTCAAACTTTAGAAACTTAAATGTGAAATTTTGCGTTGGCAAATAACTGAAATAAGTTAGAGTTGAAGTACTAAAATTACTAAAGCTAAAATAAAAATAATTAAAACGAAATGGAAATATAAAAAACATAAACTAATAAAAATGATAAAAGCACTTAAAATGACTCTTATTATTATTATTTAATAATATTTTATGTATTAAAGGTGAACTAAGTAACTTTTTTACCTTAACCGAACAGCTTTGGAGTCATTGTAATGTTTATATTACTGATTTCGTGTTGAATGGTGGTCGTCTCGCACCCCCCTGGTGCCTGTGAGCCGCAAAACCACCCTTGCAACTTTGGGCCGGCGAGCCGCCCAAAACAGATCTGATAAAATTCTGATAAAATGAGCATCAAACAGAAATAACCCGGCGCCGTATACATGTGGTAGGGCGCGCGCAGCTCTTAAAGGGGCCATACCTTATTTCCACTCGTTACAGCGTCCATCCTACTGAACAGGTACCGGTGTACAGGGGGAGGGGATCCGGCCGTGAGTGCGAGCCATCTCTGCGTGAGTGCTATTCACGACAGTACAAGTGCTCCACAGCGACTCTAGGGGTCGCTGTTTGACAAAAACGGAATTCCTACTTAGTGCTGCTTTAAGTAATATTAAAATGAAACCCATTTTCCAAGTTGGTGATTGGCATTGACACAAGCAAGGACCCCAATGGTGTTTGTTGTCATTTGACACTTTTTAATATCATTTTTGGATGAACTATTCCTTTAAAGATGGTTCAGAATGGTGTTTTCGCTGAAGATTCATTAGTGTAATATTGATGTTGTTCAGGTGTTTGAGTAAAGGACAGAACGCAGTGGTGGAGATTCAAACGCAGAGGCCTGTGGCTCTAGAGCTCTATAAGGACTATAAAGAACTGGGGCGGTTCATGCTGAGATATGTGGGCTCCACCATTGCTGCTGGAGTTGTCACAGAGGTAAAACGCAGTACATGTCCACCTTTTCTCACTAAACGCATTCCTGTTGCAAAAAGCATACGTCTTGTATTCATCAGCATTTTTCCAAATTGCATCATAAGAATGTGACGCTTGTTAATGCTGATGTTTATACTGTTTTAGATCAAAGAGTAAGGACCAGTTGGAACTGGAAGAGCGGAGAGAAGTGAACAAACACAAATTGAATGCACACAGATGCCCACCGGGCAACCTGACAGTGATTCTAGCTACAGTTCATTTCACCTTTCACCTGTCTAAAGGCCCTAGAGTCAGCGTGAATGTGTGTGTAAAAGAGAGAATGCCTTTTGTCCTGCTCTTCAGCTTGCAAAATACAACTGAACTGTAATTCATCCCAAGTTTCAACTCGAACCCTCCTAATAACACGCAGGAACAGACAGAAAGATTACCTGCTTCCATTCATTAATTGCGTCACAACAAACTGAACTCATATTCTTTTATTTGATATTTTTTTTAGATTATTGTAAATGGCATTATTTTTGACTAAAATGGCAGCATATAATGGACATTTAGGCTTGGTTCAAATCGAAGGATTTTAAGGTTAGTTATTCTGATTAGTTAAAGATGTGGACATTTGTAAAAGGGGAGATGGAAGACAATAAACAACACATCTGGCTGCTCCATCAGTTTCTCATATGAGCGGGACAGTGTGTGAATGAAACCTGCCCTTCCATTGCTGCTACTCAGTCTTTTCCTGATCTTTAATGGGTCAGTGACAAGAACCAGTGGATAAAGGGATATTTCGTGAATTGAGAGAAACTCATCCGGTGTCTGTAATCTAACAGCAATCGCTTTAAGGACCTAACAGACTTATTCATCTGTTTTTGACTTGTTTATTAAGGGGTTTTAATTTAAAGAACATTTGTTTGGGTGTATCGAAGCCGAAGTTGTTTGGTCCAGGGAAAGCTTCTTCATCAGAATAATAAAAAATATTCATCACTGTGGAAAACTTGTCTGTGTTTTTTTGGCCCAGGAAATAAATACATAGGGTAAGCTAATTGGCTTTATGACCCCGCTTTAAATTCACAAAAGTATTTTCTCTGGACATTTTTTTTCTGCATGCAAGCTTTGTTTTTCACCCCTAAAATTTTTTGTAATTCTTGATTGAGCTTTTTGCACCTTTTGGCCTGATGCTGAATGACATGAATCCCAATGCAATCATGTTTTATTAACTCTCTTTACTATTGCAGTATAATCTGATTTATGCGAATCAAGTAATTTTTCACTTATTCCAGAAAGTGCTCACTTCCACAAATGCCCATAATGTGCTCAAATGCTAATAGATGTAGCTAAAAAGTTGTTTTCTTCTGTGAGAATGTGGTGCTGTAATTTTCCACTTCACAGTCAAAAGACTTCATGAATGCAGCGTGTTCAGAATAGATAAAGACTTGGAGATTATGACACGTTGGTTAAGAAAAGCTTGGTTTTTAATCAGTTTGTCTCTGCATCTTGGTTGTAGAGGAATACCCTGAAGAATTAATAGCATGTTTCCGCTGTGCAATGGAATATGCTGCTTCGACCTTATCCACCACACAAAATTGTAGTTTAAGACTAGCATCAAAAGTAAAACAAATAAGGGAACTTTGCTTGGCCTTTACCTCTGGGTTTACAGCATTGGGGTTGCTGGTTCGGACAAAATACTTTCTCAATTTGAGCTTTTGGGATATAAAGTATATGTGCTGCAGATGTTGAGCTATTAAAAGTGCATATAGTCTGAAGGGATTCTGACATTAGTTCTGCTTTAAAAGCATCAAAGATTTTTTTGAAATACCTAAAAGAACATTCTTGACACTTGGTCTAATTTCAACTCATTGTTCTCTTTGATCCTCTGTTTGAATCATCCCAAATGAGTGTCTAATGATCTTTTCCTTCCTCGATTTTTCTGCATCACTGCCTACAATGGTATTTCCGGCGTAATAAGGGTTGTCTCTTTTCTGCTTGTTAATTCTCCTTATAGATGTTATTTTTCTTGGCTTGGTGGTTTATATCTTTATCTTGAGGAATCAGATTCGAACATCCACCCACTTTACTCTAGGGTTTGTCTTTTGATTTAGAATGAGCAAAGTCTCCCACTCTTGAGTCTTTCTGCTCTTCTCCATAAAGAAAATTATAATTTGTTCTAATGCTGCTTCATTAAAAAATAAGTAATATAAAATTATAAAGTCGCTTTGCTAAAAATGGTTTAAATTTGCTTTTAATTAACCTACACTGTATATGGGTGTGTTTGTGTGTGTGTATTTATAATACACTCTGTTTTAGTCATCTGATTTTATAATTCTCATCCTTTCATTATTTTCATGTACTGTCATGTTCAGTGTTGGGGAAAGTTACTTTTAAAAGTAATGCATTACAATATTGAGTTACTCCCTAAAGAAATAATTGCATAGTTACTCTTTATGGAAAGGAATGTGGTTCTGTTACTTTTGCATTACTTTTTTGGGGCTTGCCTGTTTGTTTTGTAATACCAAAAAAAAAAAAGGTCTAATTTTGGCAAATGTAAAAGCCCTTTCATATAAAAAGTGAAATATGTAAGCCTCAGGCTGAAGGAAATGCAAATTCACGCCAGTACAGTGGAGGGCGCAGCTCATTCTGGATTGCAGAAGTTTAACTCTCTTTCTTCAAACACAAATGTGATATGTAACTAAGTCATTTTTGCTTATTTGTATGCTTAAATTGGATCATCAAAGGTCAGCGGCAAAGTCATTGGTTAATAAAAGTATATTTGTGTTACATATTTATTTATTGCTGGTTTGTGCAATAGTCTGAGTTTGCATTTCCATGTATGTATTCATTTTGAGCAATATTGAATCTGTTTTTGTGTAAGTGAGATTAGTAAATGCACACTCATATTATAAAGTAATGTGTTACTTTACTAGTTATACTTGAAAAGGATAATTTGATTACGCAACTCGTGTTACTGGTAATGCATTACCCCCAACTGATCATGTTGCCAAAATTCTAGAAGGTTTCTAAGATCCCTGTTCTGGATTGGTATAATATCTCTTTCAAAATTTGAAATGGACTCTTTTATTGGTCTCTCAGAATATGAACTCAATGAAGTGGGGTTATCTCAGCAAATTGCGGCCTAGTGTTGCATTGAGAACCTGCGGGCAAATAAAGTGTTGGTGAAATTAAGTGTGATTGGATTTCCCGCCATCACTGCATCTTCAGTAAAGAAAGGAAATGGCGATTCCACCAGTCATCTTTGTGGCCTGTCTCAATAGGCCGCTTTAAATGATTTTCATATCATAAAGTAGCTAAATGCTTTTAATATAAAATATCCACTTATGTAATTTACACTAAATTCTAACAAAAGTAACTGAATACATTGATTTATATAACTTAATTGAACATCATTTAACTCAATATTTCTAGGGCCTTTTAGCGTTTCTGTCTTAGTGTGGGACTATTGTGTTCCTCAGTCATTTCTTAAAATGACCTCATATCATGTTCATATCTCGTTTTTTAAAGGATATTGTACCATTGTGTACATGTGCACACACACGAAACAGATAAAAACATGTCAGTTTCAGATGATTCCATGCCACATATTTATTTTATTTATTTAAACGTACATATTTTGTGTGTTTATGTTGTGTGTGTGTGTGTATAGTCTATATATATATATATATATATATATACACACACACACACACACACACACATACTCTGTATAATTATATATATATATAATGTTATATATAAAAATAAATGTTTTAAATACTAAATGTTATATTGATTATATTCCCTTATAAATGGGCATATTATTCTCTTTTCATGGAAATATGAATAATATCTCAGAACCTCCAGCAAGTTAAGCTCTTTTAATGTCCAACTCGTGCTCAAACTAATCAGTGTGGACACATGTCTGCTGGTGAAGCCCTTTAGTTTCCTATACAACCTCTTAAGTAAACAGATTGCAAAAGAGTCCGGTGAAAGCTCATATGTGACAGCACGCTGACTGGTGCGCAAACATCTCGGATCCTTTTGTTTGCAAAGCTGATTTTTCTGCAATGTCAAAAGATATGAAATATCTAGTGCTGGAAAACTATATCGGTGGGAAGTTTGTACCATGTTCCAAGCTAGTGGACTCTTTTGACCCATCGACGGGAGAGATTTATTGCAAAGTTCCAGACAGTGGACCTGAAGAGGTGAGGTTTTTCTCAATATTTCTCTTTTTTTCTCAGGTTTTGTTGAATATTTGAAGATGTCACTTGTGCATGATCAATTATGCACTGCATTACTAAAAAAGTGCAGTTTTACCTTTAAACAATATTTAACTACTCACACCATTATTTGGCAAAAGACACAAATTCTAAGAAAGTTCAGAGTAATAATTGCTTGCTGAGTCAGGGTGATGTACCTTTGGTCTCATATATTTCTTGCTGTAAACACTTTGGTCATAAAATAATTGGGCAACGCTCAAGGTCCAGTGTCTAATGATTAAGCCAAATAAGCTGGAGCTCACACCATAAGAACTCGTGTGGAGCAGTGGAACAAAAACAAGATTTTATTTTTTAATGTTTTATGACAATGCACTTAATAAAGCCTTTAAATACCAAAAAAGGAGGTCTTACATGACTTTTTTTACCCACCACATCAATGGCCAATACAAAGCAAGACACCACCCTTCTCAATTGTGAAATATATTGGTGGGTTTACCCTTTTCTCAATGGTCATAGGTGGATGCTGCAGTGAGGGCAGCCAAAGAGGCCTTTCCTGATTGGTCAGCTAAGAGCCCAGCAGAGAGAGCCAAAGTACTGAATAAACTGGCAGACCTGATAGAGGCTCGACTGGAGGAGTTTGCCCAGGCTGAGTCTAAAGACCAGGGTAAAACACTAGAAACACTACAGCATCATAGCACAAGACTAGTCTTAAAAGTTAGTCATCGCATTTTTTTCTTTTAAACTGTTCATAACTGTTTTAAGTCAGTTATATATAAACATATTTTGGTCTAATTTGATACTAAAAAGTAGGACTGGTTGCCCCTTTAACCGTTAGTTGGTCATAGTGTAAGACACAGTCATAACATAATGGCTATGTTTATGCAACAGGCCCCAGGACACACTAAACAGGTTAGACTGAAAAAGTTCAAAGGACTTACTACTGCACAATAGACCAAAATAAGAATTACCCCATGCCTAGGGTTAAATATACTGCTGGATCTTATATATTGTGGGCCTATTTTTCTGTTGGAGGTCCTGGACACCTTGTTCAGATACATGGTATTATGGATTCTAGCAAATACCAACAGATAAAAAATCCAGACCTGACTGCCTCTGTTAGAAATCTTATAAAGGGCCGTGGTTGGATCTTCCATCAGGACAACGGTCCAAAACAAACATCAAAATCAACACAAAAATGGGTAACTGAGCACAAAATGAAGCTTCTGCCATGACCGCCCCAGTCCCCTAAACTGAACCCTATAGAAAATGAGTGGGGTGAACTGAAGAGAAGAAGCACCAAACCAACATGAACTTGTGAATCTGAAGGATCTGGAGAGATTCTGTTCAAAAGGAAAGATCAGAAGGATAAACAATGCAGATTTATTTTTTACAGCCATTTTTGATCATATTTACCAGGGGTGCCATTAATTCTGACCACAACTGTATCTAATATATCTTGTTACTTTGTGTCACTGAACAATTTAATTTGGTTTTATTCAGTTCTTTATAGGGAATGAAATGGACTCATTTCCTCTTCTCTTTTTTCCAGGGAAGACTATAACGTTTGCCCGAAATGTGGACATTCCACGATCAGCGTACAACTTCCGTTTTTTTGCTTCATCTGTCCTGCATCACACTAATGACTGCAGTCAGATGGATCACATGGGCTGCCTCAACTACACAGTACGCTGTCCTGTAGGAGTGGGTATGTGTCAGTCTCTACATACGGTACTATTACTCTCTAATGTAAATCACTCTCTTTCAGATGGTTTATGTCTGTTAAACTCCCTGTCTATAGCTGGTCTTATAAGCCCATGGAATCTGCCACTGTATCTCCTGACCTGGAAGATTGCTCCGGCTGTTGCTACAGGAAACACTGTGGTTGCGAAACCTAGTGAAGTGACCTCAGTCACTGCCTGGATGATGTGTCAGCTATTGGAGGAAGCTGGTGAGGGATTTGTGTGTGTATCTGGGACAAATTTGTTAATTAGCTCATCTCAGGGTACATTGGTAGCTTTATTTTTCTCTTATTACCAGGTCCAGGATGCATCTGAATTGAGTGAACGTGTCTACATAATACGTCTGTGTGTCTTCTAGGCTTTCCACCCGGTGTGGTCAACATTGTCTTTGGTACAGGCCCACGGGCCGGGGATGCATTGGTGTCTCACCCTGACGTGCCGTTGATCTCATTTACGGGGAGCACGGCTACAGCAAGACTGATAACAGAACGAAGTGCGCCGTATTGTAAGAAGCTTTCATTGGAGCTTGGCGGGAAAAACCCGGCTGTTATATTTGCTGATGCTGACATGGATCAATCCATCAGCACTACTGTACGATCCAGCTTCTCCAATCAGGTGAGCTCATGCACAGCTTGACCAATCAGGTTATATTTTCAGTTACCATGCTTTCTGGTTGCAAAAAATTTGATGCCATTACTGAGCTCATCCAATCAAACTCCTGCAGGTGTCTGCATTAGCAGTAGGTTTAGCTTAGTGCCGATAGAATAGCATACTACCATACTTCTCGAAATGTTTCTATACAGTATGAATACTGGGTGACCTTTCTATATAATATAAATACAATATAATTAATGTGTTTTATCTAATATTTGTCATATTTTATTTCAGCTTTATTTCATTTAGCAATTTTTTTTTTTAATATATAGGTTTAGTTGATGATGATAACCTGAATCCATTTGCTGAGTTAAACATGCAACATACTGGTGGAGTAACTGGGAAATATTTGATATACTTGTCTCAAATCTTTTTTTAATGGGATAACACCATGTAGTTCCGTTTTCTGCCACACTGTGGTGCTCAGAATACAGCATTGCACATTGTGGTCTCTCACACTGTTTCTCTCTCTTTCTCTTTTTCTCTCTTTCTCTCGCTCAGGCCTTCACATCGCACGCACACAAACACATCATCACTGTGCTGATATATAAAGTGTCCATATATAATTAGTTTACACAGCCCAGTGATAACTGTGTGAGAATTACTGAAGAACTTATTTGCATCTTTTTCTTTTCTCTCTCAGGGAGAGATCTGCCTGTGTACCAGCAGAATCTTCGTTGAGCGGAGCATTTACCCAGAATTCCTCACTCGTTTCGTGGAGGCGGTACGTCGGTGGAAAACTGGAGTGCCCTCTGACCCCTCCAACGATAATGGAGCGCTCATCAGCAAAGAGCATCTACAGAAGGTCTGAGTCTTTATCTCTCTCGCTCTCTAAATTTCTAGGTTTACAAACATATACATGCTTTTAAAACATCTAAATTGCTTGCTAACTCCTACAGGTTAAAGGTTATGTTGCTTTGGCGCTGGCAGAAGGTGCACAGGTGCATTGTGGGGAGGGTGTGGACAACCTTACCCTTCCACAGCATAATGCAGATGGCTATTTCATGTTGCCCACCGTCATCTCTGGAGTAAAAGACTCCTCCGCATTGATGCAGGAAGAGATTTTCGGTCCTGTAACCTGTGTGACACCCTTCGATGAAGAAGAGGAAGTGATATCACGGGCCAACGGCGTACGCTACGGCTTATCCGCCACGGTGTGGTCCCGAGATGTGGGGCGCGTACACAGGGTTGCTAGGAAACTGCAGGCTGGGTTGGTGTGGACCAACTGCTGGCTGGTCAGAGACTTAAATCTTCCATTCGGTGGCATGAAAAACTCTGGCATTGGTCGAGAGGGGGGGAAAGACTCATACCACTTCTTCACAGAGGTTAAAGTCGTCACCATCAAACACTGACACAGGATGAAGCAATGCATGCAGGGATAGTGAATCACTCATGTGTCATTTCAAATCTGTGTGTAAATTATATAAAGGAAGCAATCAGAGATCAGACTTAATATGATTGGGAATAAATTTAATAAAAAAGTGCGTCATAGTATTTTTGTTGATAGAATGTGGGTGAATCATTTTAATAGTCTTAAACTGTCATATTCCTTAGCATAATTTTAAGACAGACCGGTGTTCAATTTTATTGCTGGAAAGTTGCTGTTTCATAGCTTAGAGACTTAAAGGTGCAGTGTGTGATTTATAGCGGCATCTAGTTACGAATTGCAACCATCAAAAGTTATGGTGGCCGACAGGAGATGTCGTTGTCTGAGACAGCAAAGAGTAGCCAGTTATGCAATGAGGTTTCTTTGCAAAGATAAATTAAGAAATTATGTTTACTTCATTATTCAGAAAAACGATATGTTATTGCGAATATTATTTTTACTCATCATTGTGTCAGTGTTTTATTCGATGACTTTAGCTAGCTTCTTTGCATGAAGAACAACATAGTGACGAAACGCGTCCAGGGCCACTGTAGAAACATGTCGGCGCATTTCAATGTAAGGGGACCCGTGGTGTATGTAGATAGAAATGGCTCATTTTAAGGTAATAAAAACATAACGGTTCATTAAGTAAGCCAAGGTCTTTATACAACACTGAAAACTTAGTTATCTGTACTATATTGCATTTCTGTCTACAAATCCTCCTAAATATTACACAATGCACCTTTATTGGTGTAGCGCCCCCTACCTGTCTTTCTTGTAACTAAGTAGGACAGCGCTCCAGATTCAATAACTAAATGCCTACAGATGGTGAAGTTAGGCCCCTCTGGTGTCACTAAATGAATTAATTCTCTTTTAGAAAATTAGAATAATAATCTATACTTTCCTTTTACGAGTTACTCAGAATTAAATCTCTCACCCCCTGACTAATGACATCAACCAACACTTTTAAAGGAATAACACACGAGTAAAAGTACAGAACAAATAAAAGATTTAATTGGAATAAAGTAACTGAAGGATAACTAGCTAAGCACATTAATTTCAGAATGTGAAATATTCACAAAATCACATTGCCATAAAATCTGACACAATTTAAACACTGAAACTTTAAAGGCAATCTATATCAGTTGCCAGACCTACTGGAATTAGTCTCCAGGTCAAATATACTTGGTATAGGTAGCACCAATGACCTCAAACGGGAGAAATGTACACAATAACCCACTCATATTATACAAACGATACTCTGAATATACACATATTATTTTCAGTGCACTGAATAATATTTAATGCGGTGGGCCCACACATACACACCAGTCATTCACACAACCCACCCCGTTGCAGGCCTGAATCGTGGCTCGTGTTCGTGGTGGCCGGGAAACTGAAAAATGGCCCCTTCACTCTCCTGAGCACAAAATCAATCAAACAAAGATACCTCAATTCCACGTGCAATGATACTGCAACTCCGGAATCCTGCAGCAGGCCTCACGCAGCTCCTCGTCCTCTCTCTCCCTCGTCAGCCGACGAAATGCACCTCCCACGCCGCCAGAGGAACCCCAAATAACGCGGGTATTTGGGGCGCTATCTGGTCCTCAAGGTCTCCCTCGTTGTGAAGGACGACAACCAGGTTAAACAGTCTTTAGTCAGTTGAATAACTGTCGCTGTAAACTATCAGTTCAGATGCGCTGATATGCGCAGTGATAACTAACCGAAAAACACTCGGATTCGCTCCCACACAGCAGGTTAGCCACACGAAACAAAAACTATAAAAACACTGGCTACAAACTCAAAGACGCACACACAAGCGATTCATCTTGGATCTACATTACAGTTAAAGGTTGTTTAAACTTATAAATCGTCAATCAAATCACTCTGTACCCGCAAACGCGTCTCTCTGAATCTCCGTCTCTCTCTCTCTCTCTCTCGCGCTTGTCAACAAAAACTCTCATGTCCCGAACAACCACTCACATTACACAAAACACCAGTGAGGGCGGGACTTAATTCACATACACCAATAAAATAATCAAGCACCTAACTTGATGGTTAAAGCCACGTTTTCCACATGTACACCTCTATCAAACTTGTATCTCATGCACGCGCGCTCTTAAAGGAACAAATACCGTATACTCACAAACAAAGATGAACGGTTAATTCACCTTTTATCTCTGAATTAAACAAATACAAGCTAATAAATTGAGGTAACTTATTAACAGCATACTTATAACCTACTGGGTTACATGCTCCCCCTTCTAAACATCTCATGACCCCATGAGATTACTTCTCAACACCTTAATGGTGACTTTAGGCTCAGTAGAAGGGTTTACCTGAGTACAACGAACACATTGTGCCATAGGGTGACACCACATGGTGTTACAGGGTTTCCTTTCTGAACCTTCCCCACCCTCTACATTTATGACCATCCCTCTATGAATCAGAGTTAAGGGTCTGTTAGTGGGCTGTCCCAGAGAATCATAGCTCAACTTGACTACGGGTCTTATCTCCCTTTTTGGGCGGGAATGAACAGTCTCTACTACCTCTTTAGTAGCATTAACTCTTTCAAGCTCTCCCCCTTCTAAACCAGGATCTCCCATCGTCTCTGAACTCCAATCTGGATGCTCTCCAGGGCCTTCTTCCATGATCATCGGCTCTGCCATTTCGGCAAAAGGTCTATCCACCTCCCATCCACAGTTAACCGGTTCATCCTCCACTGTAGAGTCCTCCCGTGTAACACATTCTGGCATGTGCTGTCTCTCCACTCTATCCGAGTAGTAATAACACACATCATCCTCTTCACTTTCAGAGGAGTTTCTCAATTCACACCCTGTCGGCACTACATTTCTTTCTCCTAATCCTCTTCTCCGTTTTCTCTCCCTAGATCTTGTCCTGGTCTCCGCAGGTGCAGAAACTTCCGTTGGTTCTCCAGGATCTGCCATCCTCACATGGTCCCCAACGGGTAAGAGATGGTCTCTGTGTAATGTTCTTACACTTCCCATACCGGATTCAGGTTTTAGGCGATACACTGGTAAGTTCTTTAGCTTTTCCACCACTAGGTACGGAACAGAATTCCACTTGTCGCAGAGTTTGTTCTTTCCAGTCAATGCCAGATTTCTTATCAGCACACGATCTCCCACAGTCAGACTCTGGTGTTTCACTCGCTTGTCGTACAACCGTTTGTTCCTTCGCTGACTTTTCTGGGCAGTTTCGGTGGCTAACTGATATGCTCTCTGTAGGTCTAATTTCATTCTTTCCACATACTGTCGATGGCTTCCTGCTCCCTTTCCATCAGGCGAAGTCCCGAAACACACATCCACTGGCAAACGAGCCTCTCTTCCGAACAGAAGATAGTAAGGGGAAAACCCAGTGGCTTCGTTCTTAGTACAGTTGTAAGCGTGTACTAAACTGTTAATGTGCTGACTCCATCGGTTCTTTTCGGCTGGATTCAGGGTACCAAGCATGGAAAGAAGTGTTCGGTTGAACCTTTCTGGCTGTGGGTCTCCTTGTGGATGATAGGGAGACGTTCTGGATTTTCGGATTCCCAGCATGCTTAGTAGCTCTTTTATGAGACCACTCTCAAAATCTCGACCCTGATCAGAATGGATGCGAGAGGGTAAGCCATAGTGAACGAAGAATTTGTCACACAGTATCTTAGCCACAGTCAGAGCTTTCTGGTCTTTGGTGGTGAACGCTTGAGCGTAGCGTGTGAAGTGGTCTGTTACGACGAGAACATTACCAATACCTTTTGAGTCAGGTTCAATTGACAGAAAGTCGATGCACACCAAGTCGAATGGCCCACTGCTGTGTATGTGATTCAGTGGGGCCACTCTCTTGGGTAACGTCTTTCTCATTACACACCGGCCACAATCCTTGACATACTGCTCTATGTATGCAGACATTCTAGGCCAATAGAAACGGTCTTTCACAAGTTCCGTAGTTTTCTCTACTCCCAAGTGCCCAGAGTCGTCGTGCAATGATTTTAACACAGTAGCCCAGTACTTCTCGGGTAAGACGAGTTGTGTCTTTTCTCTACCACAGGAACTTTTGGTGACTCTGTACAGAAGTTGACTCTTTATCTTTAACTTGTCTCCCTGCCGCTGTAACAGAGCAATGGTAGCATCAGAACTCCTAGCCCCAGTAAGAATCCTTCCTGACTCCACTTCTCGCTTTACTACACCAACTACCTGGTCTTCCTCTTGAGCTTTCCTCAACTCAGTAGTGCTCAACTGTTCCATTTGACTAAGCCCCAAAGCTGTGGGACAAGAGAAAGCTTCAGGAATACCCTCAGGTAACACACCCAACGGATCCACCAGTCTGGATGATGAACTTCCACTTTCAGCAACCACTGCTAACTGACAGATGGCTCTTACTCCTGACTTGGGTATCTCCTTCCAGTCAGAGCAAGCAGTTGATTCACAGGGGTAGCGAGACAATACATCCGCATCGATGTTGGCACTTCCTGGTTTGTATTGCAAGCTGAAGTTATAGGTAGCTAAGGCAGCTAACCAACGATGACCCGTCGCACTCAGCTTGGCACTTGACAACACATAGGTCAGGGGATTGTTGTCGGTCTTTACCACGAACTGGGCTCCATATAGGTAGTCGTGAAACTTATCCACTACCGCCCACTTGAGTGCCAAGAACTCTAGCTGATGTATGGGGTACCGTTGTTCTGAGGCACTCAGTTTCCGGCTTGCGTAGGCCACGGGCCTCATTCCTCCAGAATGCTCCTGATTCAAAACGGCCCCCAGTCCACTCAGACTAGCATCTACATGCAGTACATAAGACTTAGCAGGATCCGCAAAAGCAAGTACTGGGGCATGTGTGAGACAGTAAATGATTTTATGGAACGCTGCTGTACAAGTGTCGTCCCAACGCTCTCCAAAGGGTTCCGATACTCTGAAGTACATCTTCCCATCACTTGACTTGCTTTTTTGCCCAGATGTTGGCGGGTATCCTTTAGTGAGCTCTGTTAAAGGCCTTACAATGGCGGAGTAATCCTTTATGAACCTCCGGTAAAATCCACAAAACCCCAGGAACGACCTCAATGTCTTTAGGTCAGTGGGCCTTTTCCAGCGTGTTACGGCTTCAACCTTGGCTGGGTCTGGT